TTGTTATCAGTGATGTGTGGTGAGAGCACGCTCCCTGACTGGTCAGTCCTCTGCCACCCCCGGCTGCTCCTCGGGCCTCGGGGGCTCTGCTGGGCTCCGTTCCTCCTCACTCGTCCCGTCACCACCCCGGGTGACCTCACTGTCCCAGGGCCCCGGCTTCCCAGGGCCTGGACCTCCTCCCCAGCGGCCGGGTCTTCCTCCTGGGCTCCATGGCCGGGCCCCCAGGGCATCCCACACATGCCACACTGCCCCTGGCCCCAGAGTTGACTGGGAATGTTAAATGTAGTGCGTGCTGCTGGCTTCTCATACGTACTCTTCAGACGTTTCTTTGTACATTGGAGACTTTTTTCAAGAACGTAACTTCTGATTCTGTGACATGGGAATGGGAAGAATGCCCGGCCTGCCGCGTGGCTGTTGCGAGGGTCGGAGAGCCCTCCCTGCAGGGCTGGCAGGAGCCTCTGGCATTTCACTGAGGTGGCATGGTGCCAGGCGGCCATTGGCGGGGCCAGCCGGATGCTTAAGAGGAACTGCTCGAGCTCAGGCTCAGTGACTAAGAAAGTACCCTCTGTGTTAAGGTCGTACGTTCTCGGGCTGGCGGCGTGTGGGGCATGGGCTTCGAGTGTTAGAGCCGCAGGAGCCTGGCTCCCGAGGGCTTTATTAGCAGAGGGCACCGAGGGCTGGACATGCGGAGGGACAGCTCCGGCCCGGCACAGCTGTCCTGCCGCCCGGTGGCTCTCCCACACGAGGCACTTACACTGGGAGTCAGACGGCGGTGACGCCACACGCCTTCTCCCCGCCGCCAGCCCGCTCTGAAGGCGCCAGAGTTAGTGGGGCTTTTCCCATCTGACTGGTTTCTCGTTCGGAGATGAGTTTCGGTGATTTAGAGCAGCTCGGTCTCTTCTGTAGAGTGACAGCCCACACTTAGTGAGTGCTGTGGTGCCCCTGGTTCAGCCCTCTGGGCAGCTTCTGTGATGATCATCGCCTCCCCTTGCTGAGAAGGGAGAGCAAGGGGTATTCAGAGGCCTCAGGAACTGGGCTTGGAATTCCTCAGGAGGAAGGGAGTGGGGG